TAAGAAGTAGAAAGTACAGGTATTTGAGTTCAACATGTAAGAAGTAGAAAGTACAGGTATTTGAGTTCAACATGTGAGAAGTAGAAAGTACAGGTATTTGAGTTCAACATGTGAGAAGTAGAAAGTACAGGTATTTGAGTTCAACATGTAAGAAGTATAAAGTACAGGTATTTGTGTTCAACATGTGAGAAGTAGAAAGTACAGGTATTTGTGTTCAACATGTAAGAAGTAGAAAGTACAGGTATTTGAGTTCAACATGTGAGAAGTAGAAAGTACAGGTATTTGTGTTCAACATGTAAGAAGTAGAAAGTACAGGTATTTGAGTTCAACATGTGAGAAGTAGAAAGTACAGGTATTTGAGTTCAACATGTGAGAAGTAGAAAGTACAGGTATTTGAGTTCAACATGTAAGAAGTATAAAGTACAGGTATTTGTGTTCAACATGTGAGAAGTAGAAAGTACAGGTATTTGAGTTCAACATGTAAGAAGTAGAAAGTACAGGTATTTGAGTTCAACATGTAAGAAGTAGAAAGTACAGGTATTTGAGTTCAACATGTGAGAAGTAGAAAGTACAGGTATTTGTGTTCAACATGTAAGAAGTAGAAAGTACAGGTATTTGTGTTCAACATGTGAGAAGTAGAAAGTACAGGTATTTGTGTTCAACATGTAAGAAGTAGAAAGTACAGGTATTTGAGTTCAACATGTGAGAAGTAGAAAGTACAGGTATTTGAGTTCAACATGTGAGAAGTAGAAAGTACAGGTATTTGAGTTCAACATGTAAGAAGTAGAAAGTACAGGTATTTGTGTTCAACATGTGAGAAGTAGAAAGTACAGGTATTTGAAGTTCAACATGTAAGAAGTAGAAAGTACAGGTATTTGTGTTCAACATGTGAGAAGTAGAAAGTACAGGTATTTGAGTTCAACATGTGAGAAGTAGAAAGTACAGGTATTTGAGTTCAACATGTGAGAAGTAGAAAGTACAGGTATTTGAGTTCAACATGTAAGAAGTAGAAAGTACAGGTATTTGTGTTCAACATGTGAGAAGTAGAAAGTACAGGTATTTGAGTTCAACATGTGAGGAAGTAGAAAGTACAGGTATTTGAGTTCAACATGTAAGAAGTAGAAAGTACAGGTATTTGAGTTCAACATGTGAGAAGTAGAAAGTACAGGTATTTGAGTTCAACATGTGAGAAGTAGAAAGTTCAGGTATTTGTGTTCAACATGTAAGAAGTAGAAAGTACAGGTATTTGAGTTCAACATGTGAGAAGTAGAAAGTACAGGTATTTGAGTTCAAACATGTGAGAAGTAGAAAGTACAGGTATTTGAGTTCAACATGTAAGAAGTATAAAGTACAGGTATTTGTGTTCAACATGTGAGAAGTAGAAAGTACAGGTATTTGAGTTCAACATGTGAGAAGTATAAAGTACAGGTATTTGTGTTCAACATGTAAGAAGTAGAAAGTACAGGTATTTGTGTTCAACATGTAAGAAGTATAAAGTACAGGTATTTGTGTTCAACATGTGAGAAGTAGAAAGTACAGGTATTTGTGTTCAACATGTGAGAAGTAGAAAGTACAGGTATTTGTGTTCAACATGTGAGAAGTAGAAAGTACAGGTATTTGAGTTCAACATGTAAGAAGTAGAAAGTACAGGTATTTGTGTTCAACATGTAAGAAGTAGAAGTAAAAAGTGGTCAGAAAAATAAGTAGTGGAGTAAAGTGCTGATACCAGAAACATGTACTTAAGTACAGTAAGGAAGTATTTGTACTCCACTACTTCCCACCTCTAACCAAGGCCATTACACCTGTTGGGGAGCATGAATAAAGTAAAGTGTGATATTGAACGGACCGTCTCCAGTCTGAACTCCACGCTGCAGAGGGAGCTCAGGTTTATCATCAGGACTCCAGGAACACCGTCTGAAAGCAGCCAAACTCCTCCAACCACCAGCAGCCTCTCACCAATCACATGGGAGGAGTACCTGAAGCAAAGAGAAGAGAACATGGAACAGTTGTAGATATGCAGTGGTGTTTAGTGCGAAATATTTCTTTGTAAATCATTTAGTATAATCACACAAATTCTGCGTTTTGTATTTAATGAGTTCTTCATTTATGAAATACCTGACTAGCTCTTAAATCAGTGGGCAGAACCTCCAACATGCAGTCACTGTACACAGTACACACGCTTTCCTCTTGCCTTTTGTGAATGTGTTTCACGTGAGAAGAGTGTGAGGGGAAAATCTATTTAATAACGACTGATTTGTTTTTACTTCCATTGTGTTATTTTATATTGTATGTATTCCCTGTACAGCACTTTGGTCAACTGAGATTGTTTTTAAATGTGCTATATAAATAAATAAAGATTGAGATTACAAAGAATACATTTTTTTCTCCCTTTGGGTTTTTTGGTTAGATGCCTGAAATAAAGTCAATGTTTATAAGACGCTTAAGAGATTTCAAACTGTTCTATCCCGTAAATAAATTCCCCACTCAGTCATTTGTCACGGTTGAAAATAGCTTAATTACACAGGACATGGCATTAGAGCAGGGGTGGGAACCCTTTTCTTCTCAAGGCCCATTTCAATGAATACAACATCCTCCGAGGGCCGTACAAATGATTGAACTCAACCTCTGTTTAAAAAAACTCATTATTTTGGCCTTTCTTTCATGCTGTGCAAAGAAAAAGCAACCTCTTAATCCAGATATCTTACCATGACTTGCGTATGCATGCACGTGCACGGTTGTGGCATGACCACCACAACAGAATGATATGGACACAAGATGTGATGTGTTTCCTGCTGCTGCTCAACACACACAGCTCTGTGAAGTGCTTCCTCTGCATGCAGGCGGAGACCCTGCACCTAGAGACAGATTCATAATAATACATGTGATTTAGATAGTGCTTTTCCTGGTGCTCAAAGCGCTTATTATGCTGATAACTTGCCTGTCTTTTGGGGCAGTTTTCAGTCATTTGTAAGAACCTCTTCACACAGTGGTCCACAGCTCTCCAGACTTTCTTTATAATAGTGTATAATGGTGTGTATACTACTGCATACAATTTAAATGCACAAAAGCTCATTCCTGATGAATAAAATCATTCCATAAGTCAAACATATTTAGCAAAAATGACCAAGATCTAAAAATGTTATAGTTCAAATATGGCTTGAATTTCAATGCAAAGGTATTTATGAATGCAAATCATACCTGTTGATGAGCGGGGCTCTTCTGGCCGCTTTGCACTTTGCTCAACACACTGCTGTCGTTGGTGCCCTGAACCTGGATCGAACAACAACAGAAAACAATGAATTGACCTTTTTCCAGTGGTACTTGAGAGAATGGTAAGTAGTTAAGGAAATTAAAGAGCAATGAAAACCTGCTCCCGAGAAAAAATGCTCAGTAGCCTACGCATAACTACTAAAAGATATGCCAAAAATGGAAATCTAACACATAAAATAGTGCAGAAGTTATAACAGAGGGATAGAATACAGCGTAATTGAAACAAATTAAAATAACAAATATTTTCAGAGGGAGAAGTATGCTTAAATAAAAATCTAAATATACTTAGAAACGTAATCAACCAACATTGAATGCATTCATTTTGCAGAATGGCCAATATAAGAATAATATGGATTTAATGTACTATATGTTCATCACTTTAATGTTGCTTATGGTAAAGCTTTAGGAGTTTATTTGATACACTGCAGGGAAATTGAATGTATAACAGAATATCAGCATACATATAACAGTAATAATATATAGAGATGTCAACAGGGTGTAAAACAGTAAGTAAAAGTATATACTTGGCTTGCAATGGGAAGACTTGGAGTCCATCAAAAAGAGTACTTAGTTACACTGATAAAAAAACACCACTCTCTATATCATGTTTTGCTGTATAATGTATATATTTATATTATGTATAAGACATACAGAGGTGTCCCTCCCCTGTTTCTTCCTACGTGTTGTCGGCATAATGTCAGCAAGTTGCCAAAGTGCCGTTTTCATGATAAAAATTGAGGAGTCCGCAGAACATTTCAAAACATCCTTCATGTGGTTAGGACTTTCGGGTGCTTTGCTATCTGAGTTGTGAGCAGCGCCCCCTGTGGCCTGGAGGACACACAGGTCAAATGAATACCGTTTAAAAGCCCATTCAGATTATTTATTATTAACTTTAACATTACGTTTGTTCAATGGTATTATGCCTTACTATACATTGATTAAAAATCCCCAAATTCTGACTATTTTTCTCCGAATTATTACTTGTTCTCACCGTTTTCTTAACGTCAACTGTTCTCTTAAGTCCCTCCCACCAAAAATGGTCGTTAGCGATTAGCTAACAGAGCAGATTGACAGCTGGCCAACCAATGAAACAGAGGTATGACATGACAGGTTCACAGCTGCTCTAAAATCAAGATATTTTATTTCATTTCAAACCTTTATTTATCCAGGTGTATCCCATTGAGATCATTGATCTCTTTTTCAAGGGAGACCTGCACAATTTAAATGTTTTGCCTACAAGTAATACATAACAAATACATAAATTGGCAAAAATAATTAGATAGAGCTTCCTTCAATTTATGAGTTCACTAAAAAAAATAATTAGATAGAGCTTTCCTTCAATTTATGAGTTCACTAAAAAAAAAATTAGATAGAGCTTTCCTTCAATTTATGAGTTCACTAAAAACATAATTAGATAGAGCTTTCCTTCAATTTATGAGTTCACTAAAAACATAATTAGATAGAGCTTTCCTTCAATTTATGAGTTCACTAAAAAAAATAATTAGATAGAGCTTTCCTTCAACTTATGAGTTCACTAAAAAATTATGTGATTTTGGTTTCATGTTACTGTAAGTATTTTTATTTATTTATTGAAATAAAATAAGGTAAATAAGATTTCCCTTTGCCTTGAGTGGAATAAACTAATAAATCAAATATATAAATAAATATAATAAATGCGGTTTCACAATGCGGCATTCACTGCGCATGCGCAAACCTACAGGAAGTGTTAACATTTTCTCTCACCAGCTGATGAAGCCAAATTGTCAACAGTGAAACCTGCGATATCTGCTGAAACCACAGTAAACACGGTGAATATTCTTCATATATCCCTCTCAGTATCTCTTTATTATTCGTGCAATCAGCGAGTATCTGTGTGTTTATTCTGGCGTCGAAATATAGATTGAGTTTCGTCTGGAATGAGGGATCCCGTTAGCACAAAGATAAGATAAGCTGGTGTTAATATTGACATTTACACTTCAAAATACCCAAATGAGGTGGTGTTAAAGGACTGGTTTGCTGCAGGGGTGGATGTTTTTCAGTATTGAAGTATATCAGGTGGGAGACAGGCAGCAATATGCAGCATCTCTGCTAAAGCTCAGGTTTCACTGCAGGATAAGGCACACAGCTAGCAAATAATCAACATGTCTAAATCAGTGGACACAGAGGAGACATTCACGGCTGGAAAGATGCATTTCCTGTGCAGGGATTAACCTCCATTTTCTAATACAGCATAATCTGTCCATCTTTTTGATCATAGAGGCGTTTGTGAGGTAAGATGTGACCACAGAGATGTAAAGAAATGCAGTTGCATTGCAAAGTTGTGTCTTGCTATTCCTTGAGTTCATGTCTAAACTAAAAATAAAGAATCTAGCTTTTTGTTTTTCTCAAATTAGTATCAGCTAATGTTAAAGTGTTAAAGCTCTCGTTTCTCTGCAGGATAAGGGACACAGTGGGAACAATGGGAACTAGTATGATAGTTGGTTCTGAATTAGTGACACAGAGGAGACATTCAGGGCTGAACAAGTTGCTTTTCTTGCGCAGGAATTATCCTCCATTTTCTAACAAAGCAATAATCTGTCGCTCTAATATTATACAGGCGTTTGTTGCTTTGATAGAAAAGTGTTTTTGAGGTAAGATATGATCCACAGAGATGGAAAGAAATGCAGTTGCAATGCTAAGTTGTGTCTTGCTATTCCTCGAGTTCGTGTCAGATTGACCGATACGTTTTCTTTATGGATATAGAACACAACAAAAGGGATTACATGTAACGTGTGAAAACGTATTTCCAACATGTAAAGAAGAGGACAGATAAGATCAATAAGTGATCAAGACAACAGACAAATAGATAACAACACAAATTCACTTTTGATAGATGTGACTGTTTCAAATCAATCCGGCAAACATAACCACTTCTCTTTTCGGATGACGGTAAGCATCACCATCTAATATTGTAAGCCCTTGGATAATAATACATGTCACACACTTAATAGAGGAACATATCTACTTGTCTTTGAGAGCTTGATTCATTTAGTTTTCTACAAAGTAGTTTCATGTATTTCCAGATATGTGCAAAGACAAGAGGGCAAAGAGGAACTGGGAGCATGAACGGCAAACACGTCATAGCTCTAAATATATTAGCTTTGTGCAGAAAGAAACAAAATGTTTTCTTAATGTAAATAAAACCTATTTGTCATGATGGCAGGTGACCAGCAACAGACAACATTTACCTTGTATATTGCATGTGGCAGGGGCCGGTTTCAGTACCTTATTGTGATGTATTTGATACTCTAGGACAGCGGTCCCCAACCTTTTTTGCGCCACGGACCGTTTAATGTCAGACAATATTTTCAACGGACCGGCCTTTAAGGTGTGGCGGGACAAATACACACAATAAAATGATACGACCAGCATAAAAACTGTGGTATTTTCATACATATAATATTAAACGTGAATCCACTGTGTACTCGCATGCAACTTTATTGTCAGCGACCTCGGAACATCGCACCAACAACATAACATGAGTAACATCCTCTCTGCCCCTAACACTCTCTGGTCGCTATGGTAACGTTTAAACATGCCTTCAAAATAAGATACAACGCAAAAACAAATATAAAATGCATGAAAAATACAACTCACCATAACGCTACAACGAGACGGTCCCATCTGGAGGTAATGGGAGACGATGACACCCGAAGTGTATTGCTTATGTCCAGTCTACTCCGTAATTTTGTTTTGGTTGCTGTCACTGCAGAAAATCCCGCTTCACACAAATAGGATGTCGGAAATGGTAACAGGGTTTTCAGTGCTGTTGTTGCGATCTCAGGGTATTCTGCCGTGACTTTAATCCAGAACACCGGCAGAGTTGTTGTCTCGAACATACTTTTAAGGCCGCCGTCATTTGCGATCTCCAGCAGTTGATCTTCTTCTTGCATAGACATGCTTGATTCACCTGGTTTGTTAACAAATGGGTCGCGGATCCATTCCTTGGCAGTTCGTGGGTCTTTTGTGGTTGGGAAGTAGCGGTCAAACTCTTTTAAAAGCAAAGACAGGTGATCATGCACCATCTGGGAGAATGAAAGCTCGGGCTCAGTCTCTTCCAAAATCCCCGCGAATGTTTGAAACATGTCAAATGTCTCTGTTCATGCGCCGTCCCCACAAATCCAGTTTGGCTTTAAATGCAGCTACTTTATCTGCCAACTTGAAGACAGTTGTCATTTCCCCCTGAAGTGACAGATTGAGTTCATTGAGCAGGTTGAATATGTCGCACAAGTAAGCGAGTTTTGCGACCCATTCCTCGTCACTGAAATGTGCTGCCAGCGGTGACTTTTTTCTGAGAGAAATCTCTGCAGCGGCTCTGGTAATTCAAACACTCTGGCCAGCGATCTCCCTCGGGAGTCGGGATAACCATCTTATTTCTGTGGATAAGAGAAGGCGTCTGTGCTCCGCGTCCATCTCCTCACAAAGCTGCTCGAACAGGCGCGAGTTAAGGGCGTGTGCTTTGATGTGGTTAATAACTTTAACGACATCATTCAATACGCTGTTAAATTCCGGTGGCATTTTTCGGCTAGCCAGCAATTCCCTGTGAATGACACAATGCGTAGACTCACATTCAGGTGCAACCTCCTTAATCCTAGTAGTTAAACCAGACAGCCGTCCGGTCATGGCAGCAGCTCCGTCTGTGCATATGCCGACACCAAAGGACCATTTTAGTGATATATAATCATCCAGCGACTCGAATAGTTCTGCGGCTGTGGTTTTGGTTGGCAACGATAGAGCACATAACATATCCTCATGCACATCCTCCTGATAAAGATATCGCACATAAACAAGTAGTATTGCCTTGTTGTCAATATCTGTAGACTCGTCAACATGGAGTGCGTACCACGGTGATGTATTAATCCTCTCCAACAATTGTGTCTCAATGTCCTCTGCTATTTTCTCAATGCGCCGAGTGACGGTGCTAGCCGAAAGAGGCACCTGTGCTATCTTTTTAACCGCAGCCTCTCCTAGAAGTTCACGGCAAATGTCTTTAGTGGCGGGCAGGATCAATTCTTCACCAATGGTGAATAGCTTCTTAGCCTTAGCAATACGGTTAGCCACCAAGTATGATGCCCTCAGTACACTCGCATTTGTTGATGTGGTGGCCCTCAGGAATTGCTTCTGTCCTTCTTGTTCATGCTTTTTTCTTTCAAAATACTCCGAAGGCTTGTCTTTTAATGCAGGGTGCTTGGTCTCCAAGTGGCGAAGCAGTTTTGAAGGCTTCATTGCCTCATTAGAGAGCCGGTTGCCGCATATTATGCAAAGCGGGCTTGGTGCGCGGGCATCACCTGTCGCGAAAAATCCATATTTTAAGACTCCTGGTATTGTCTGTTAAATGCAACTTTTTTTTCTTGGAAGTCGACTTCTGTCCTCACTGGGCCTTTTCCCCTTCGCAAATAAACTTTCCAAAGACGTTTGTTTTTTACTCATTTTGCTAGCTTGTGGGTTTAATTTTAGCGGCAACGGATTAGCGACAGAGACGGATGTAACAGAGGGAATCCGGTCAGTTTTCAAAATAAAACATCGTTCAGACTCAGATAATAAATAAAACGGAAATAATGTAAGTTATTTTTTTTTTCTCTGCGGCCTGGTACCAAATGAGCCACGGACCGGTACCGGTCCGCGGCCCGGGGTTTGGGGACCCCTGCTCTAGGACACAGGTGTCAAACTCAAGGCCCGGGGGCCAAATCCGGCCCGTGGTGGATTTAATTTCGGCCCGCAGGATCATTTCTAATTCCTATTAGATCTGGCCCTCCGGTATATTGCACGCACACCTTCACTCCATCCTGAGGGTCTCCTCCGCTCAGAGCCTGAGCCCAAACATTGATGACCTTGCACCCAAGATGAGAAGCCAAGTATCTGAGCTAGCATCACAGAGCAGCACACTGAGTTTAATGGATGTTTCCTTCTGCACTTTCTCTCAGGACAACAGGGCATGTTGGGGTTTCTCTTTGAGGGGAATAGTTTTGTTGAAGCTGTTGTTGGCCTGTGGGAAAATGTACTCATAAGAAATGACTCTGGAAAAGCTGCAGATAGAGCCATAAGAAATGAATGCAGCTGATTATTTAATGTTTAATGTTGTTTTTATAGGCAATAATTTAAGCTTTGTTAGTTCCAGGTTTAATATGTGCAATAAGTTCATTTCAATAAGTTCTGCAATAAACATTGAACCAGTCCGGCCCTCCACTAGTACCCATTTTTAAATGTTGGCCCACTGTGTATTTGAGTTTGACCCCCCTGCTCTAGGATGATATCTTTGCTTCACTGCACATGCAAAAGACCCACTTGGGACAGAAGTAAACAAATCACAATTATGTGGCACATGCTTTGGATGGGATTCATGTTAAATAAAATGAAAAATTCAATGTGCAGCTCTCCTAATAAAACTCGTATCCCCAGACTTTAATGACGCACTGGAGGAATTATTTCCTGCAATGACAAAGAGGGGAAAGTGTACATGATTCAAGTTGCAAGGCTTTTATTGTCATTTGTTCATAGCTACAGTTATATCAATGAACATCTTAGGCCACAGGCTCCTCCAACAGTGCAACACAATACAACAGATAATAGTGAAAGTAAATATAATATAATAGAAACAGTGCAGAATAGTCTATATACAAGTAATTGGAATATTGATATATGTAAGTTGCAAACAGATGAATGTTATGGATGTTCTTTCAAAAGTCCAGGTGTTGAACAGTCTTATGGCCTGTGGGGTGAAACTGTCTCTGAGTCTGGGGGTTTTAATCTTGCACTAAAATACAACCCGTCACTTCTTCCCTCAGATAGAACAGAGAGTGAAGAGACGTCGGGACACATTAGCGAGACCTGACTCCACTCTGGAAGGCGGTGCAAGTGCCTGACGTCCCCAGAAGCCCCCCTCCCCCAGGGAGGAGACCCCCTGCTGGTATGAGCTCCAGAGGGAGTGGAGGCCGCACCAACGGCACACTGCCACAAACCAAGATCTGCCAGTTCAAGCTGGTGCTGCTGGGGGACATGGCGGTGGGCAAGTCCAGCCTCGTGCTGCGATTCGTCAAAGGGCAGTTTGACGAGTTCCAGGAGACGACCATAGGAAGGTGTGTGTGTGTGTGTGTGTGTGTGTGTGTGTGTGTGTGTGTGTGTGTGTGTGTGGTGTGTGTGTGTGTGTGTGTGTGTGTGTGTGTGTGTGTGGGTGTGTGTGTGTGTGTGTGTGTGTGTGTGTGTGTGTGTGTGTGTGTGTGTGTGTGTGTGTGTGGTGTGTGTGTGTGTGTGTGTGTGTGTGTGGTGTGTGTGTGTGTGTGTGTGTGTGTGGTGTGTGTGTGTGTGTGTGTGTGTGTGTGTGTGTGTGTGTGTGTGTGTGTGTGTGTGTGTGTGTGTGTGTACTTGTGGGGACCTACATCTGTTTACATAGTCAGGTGTGGGGACTCGCCTCCCTCATGGGGACAAAATGGAGGTCCCCATGAGGGGAATCATTAATTTTAGGGTGAAGACTTGGTTAGGGTTAGGCATGTGTTGGTTATGGTTAAGGTTAGGATAAGTCTCCAGGAAATGCATGTAAGTCAATGTAATGTCCCCTGAAGTGATGTGTGTGTGTGTCGCTTATCAGGTGGTTAGTAAAGGAATACTTAAATTAATCACGTTAATAGGTCTGATAAAATACGCTTAGCTTCATATTGCGACGATATTGTAGGGTTGACTATTTATTGTTATACGCACAATACCTACTGTGTAGTTTTGGCAATGACAATCTTAAGATTGTCTCTTAAGACCTTAAGGTCCAGGCTTCTCCAACAATGCAATATAATAGATTTATTTTATTTAATAGATTTAATTTGTTAGCGTTTTACAGGTGCTCAAAGACGCTTTACAGATATAGTGAAGGGAAAAGAAAAGGAAGGAACAACAAATAAATATATAGTTAAAGTTAAAGTCAAATAATACAAAAACAATCACACATTAAAAGCCAGATTGAAGAGGTGAGTTTTTTGAAGGTGGTGATACTTACAACATAAAAGAAAGAGGCATAAAATGTGTGCATATGACACAATAGTGCAAGTTAAAATGCAGTTAAAAATCGGTTTGTACGTGTAAAAAAGAACAACATAACAAAGATTGTAAAATGAATAACTTTACAGTGGAATGAAATGCTGCCTGTTGTAATCAAATATAAATATGTGGATTGTAAACAGATGTGTGAACAAAGGAAGGTGTAGACACTTGGCAGATCTCAGGAACTTACATGTTTTAATCCAAGTACCATTCATCCACTCATGTCCCCAATACTTCACAAGACTTTCCCTTAACCTTTGAATAAGGTAAGGGTTCTGAATAGTATAGTTAAAGTGAAAATGTTGAGGGATAGCGAGCTTACGACTGGATAAATGAGTCCTGCTATGGTGTTGCTGTTGTGGTTCGAAGGTTTGAAGAGCACCTGGTAACTTGTCATTTCCCTCCTTCTCGCGCAGCGGCGTTCCTGGCTCAGTCGGTGTGTTTAGACGACACCACGGTGAAGTTTGAGATCTGGGACACGGCGGGACAGGAGCGCTACCACAGCCTCGCCCCCATGTACTACAGAGGAGCTCAGGCCGCCATCGTGGTCTTCGACATCACCAAGCCGGTACAGTATACACAGATTACATCCACAGAATGAAGTAAATCAATAAAGTATTTCTGATTCTTTTGAGGCGAGAACTTGCATCGCTAGTAGATCATTAGTTATAAAACATCCCAGACAACCTGGTATTCATATTTATATTTATCAGTATACTACACACCTCATTGAGGAGCAGTTTGTCCTCTAACTGCTGATAAAACCTTCCTATATTTATGTTTTATTCACGCACACGTTCTCTGTCCTCTATACCTGAGGCCTGTACTACGAAGCTGGTTCAACCTAACCTGGATATGTTTGAGTTAGGTGCGCGTTCACATGAAAGGGGTGGTATTTGGAGCATTCGACCAATCACAAACATGGACAAGCGTACTGACAGCGCAGCGTCATACTTCCTGAATGAAAAGTAAATTTTTAGACATATGAAGAAGTTAAACTTTAAACATCCATGACTTAAACACTTTATCCAGGATCAAAGCCACAGAGCTGCACCTGCAAGGTGAATACAGCTGGTAACAGAACAAGTGTTTGAATGCGTACATTAACAGGTTTATGATATCACTGCCCCGTCTAAGACACGATCTGACTTTCATTACATTTGACTCCAGTGTTTCGTCAAATTAATGTGTTGCTTAAAATAATACTTCTGCATACAGTCTGTGACGCTGTGAGTGTTGCACGGCCAGATACGGCTCAGCTGACTCAGATCAGGAAATATGATACATTATGAAATGATATGCCGCGGACTGTACTTAATGTTACTCTGATCCGGTTACTTATGTTGTGGCAGATATTTAAGTAAGCTTTCTGAACGGTAATGTTATAATAGTCAGATTGCTCTGAAGATGGAGGTGATATTCTATTAATGTTCACGTTCACACAGTCGCTGATTTTTACCGGCCGTCTTTCCTGCGACGGCAGCTTTTCTGTATTTCCTTTCTCCTGTAATATGACTTGATCGCTTTAAACTCCGCACACTGAGCTCTGATTGGTCAGCAGGCAGTGCTTTCACTGAGTTGAGCTCTTAGCCTGCAACCTAACCTGCTCCGGAGCAGGTTAGCCGCTCAGCATAAGTTGCCATGGAGATCTAGCCTGCTAAAAAGAGAACCAGCTTCGTAGGACCGGAAACCCCGAGTTTTCCCTGAAGTTAGCCGCTAAGAGAACATCCGGCTTCGTAGTACAGGCCTCTGGCGTTTACCTGTATGTTGGTAATTTCTCTGACCTCTGTCCTCTGTACCTGGTGTTTACCTGTGTTGGTAGTTTCTCTGACCTCTGTCCTCTGTACCTGGTGTTTACCTGTGTTGGTAGTTTCTCTGACCTCTGTACCTGGTGTTTACCTGTGTTGGTAGTTTCTCTGACCTCTGTCTTCTGTACCTGGTGTTTACCTGTATGTTGGTAGTTTCTCTGACCTCTGTCCTCTGTAGTGTTTACCTGTGTGTTGTAGTTTATCTGACCTCTGTCCTCTGTACCTGGTGTTTACCTGTGTTGGTAGTTTCTCTGACCTCTGTCCTCTGTAGTGTTTACCTGTGTGTTGTAGTTTATCTGACCTCTGTCTTCTGTACCTGGTGTTTACCTGTGTTGGTAGTTTCTCTGACCTCTGTCTTCTGTACCTGGTGTTTACCTGTGTGTTGGTAGTTTCTCTGACCTCTGTCCTCTGTAGTGTTTACCTGTGTGTTGTAGTTTATCTGACCTCTGTCCTCTGTACCTGGTGTTTACCTGTGTTGGTAGTTTCTCTGACCTCTGTACCTGGTGTTTACCTGTGTTGGTAGTTTCTCTGACCTCTGTCTTCTGTACATGGTGTTTACCTGTGTGTTGGTAGTTTCTCTGACCTCCTGCCGTGTGTTTAGGACACCTTTGAGCGAGCGAAGGCCTGGGTGAAGGAGCTGCAGAGGCAGGCCAGTCCCAACATCGTGATCGCTCTGGCTGGGAACAAGGCGGACCTGGCAGAGAGGAGACTAGTGGAGTACGAGGTAACAAGCTCCCGTCATGTTGTGAATATCCTCATAAATATAAAAAATACCCTGATTTAAAGCGCCAAAGATCACTTTTTAAAAATATATTCATAATGAAGAATATGTTGATTACACAATGTCATGGCTGTAGAATAATGACACCGTCAGCGTTTGGATTGGTTCCCTTTAAGCCTGGCTTTCACTTTGCAATTCTGCAACTGGGTTAGATCTCCTTTTTAAACTTAAAGTCCTCTTTATGAACCATAGACTGTATGGACCTCTAGACATATATAAATGTGTTTCTTAATAAAATGTAAGGTCAAGTCAGTCCTGTAGGTTTTATGGCCATTTCAAACCTTTTTTACCCATATTTTCTAACCATTTTTGGGATAATATTGTGACAATATATGCTCAATTTGTCCTTTGCCTGTCTATGATAGCTTCTGTTTAATAATAATAATAATAATAATAATAAATGATATTTATATAGCGCCTTTCAAGGGACCCATGGTCGCTGTACATGGTGGACAAACAAAACAATCAACGGGCAAACCAAAGAAATAACTAAAGGAAGCCGGTGGACCAGAAAAGGGCTAGGGCCCGAAGGCCAGGGTGAACAGGTGTGTTTTTAGTGATGATTTGAAGATTTCCAGGGAGGCAGCATTACGGATCTCGGCAGGAAGTGCATTCCAGAGGGTGGGGGCCGCAGCACTGAATGCCCTGTCAGCAACAGTTCGGAGGCGAGAGCGGGGGATGGAGAGCAGGCCCGTGTCTGAGGACCGCAGACTCCGAGAGGGGGTGTAGGGATGGAGGAGGTCCGATAAGTACTGGGGGGCTAGGGAATGGAGGGACTTGTACGTGAGGATGAGTGTTTTGTATTGAATCCGGGACTTGACCGGCAGCCAATGTAGGTGGATGAGGGTGGGGGTGAGATGTTGCCATGGCTTGGTGTGGGTGAGAAGCCTGGCGGCAGAGTTCTGGACGTATTGGAGCCTATCCAGGGTTTTGCTGGGAACCCCGGACAGGACTCCATTGCAATAGTCCAGACGGGATGTAATGAAGGCGTGTACAAGGGTTTCTGCCACAGCGTCAGAGAGAGAAGGCCGGATTCTGGCAATGTTTTTTAGGTGATAGAAGGCGGATTTGGTGACAGATTTGACGTGCGCCTGGAAAGAGAGGGTGGTGTCCAGGTTGTTTACAATTAAACAACAAGATAAGAGAACAGGGCACAACCTTTGTTTTACTATACCTAATTGGCTGCATTAAAATACAGGTGATACAGTCCGTAAGAGTCAGCGTCTGCCTGGCTGCTTAAAAACAGAAACTGCATTTGAGGCACAAGTCAGAGCTTTGTGTCGATAAGAAACATTTTATTTTTTCAGCTTCAGGTTTTGTAAGTGTTTAAACTGACTTTATATCTGCATTTGTGTGTGTGTTGTATGAAAAAGGACGCCCAGACGTACGCTGAAGACACTGGCTTGCTCTTCATGGAGACCTCTGCTAAAACAGCCATGAACGTCAATGAGCTCTTCCTGGCTATTGGTGAGTGGCCTGTCATTTACACGAGACTTGTTGATTGTAAAAATACTTAAAAAATGATTTTTAATAGTTACCAAAAAGCAAAGGTGCACAACCAAGCTCGTGAAACCAAGAAAATAGATATTGACATTATTATGACATTATTATTATTATTGTTAGTTTGTGAAGTGACTCTGTTGGTTATTTTGACAAAGGGGAGGACTCTTTAAAGTAGAGACACTACATACTGATATACACCTGAACATCAGCAGGAGAGGACTCTTTAAAGTAGAGACACTACATACTGATATACACCTGAACATCAGCAGGAGAGCACTCTTTAAAGTAGAGACACTACATACTGATATACACCTGAACATCAGCAGGAGAGGACTCTTTAAAGTAGAGACACTACATACTGATATACACCTGAACATCAGCAGGAGAGGACTCTTTAAAGTAGAGACACTACATACTGATATACACCTGAACATCAGCAGGAGAGGACTCTTTAAAGTAGAGACACTACATACTGATATACACCTGAACATCAGCAGGAGAGGACTCTTTAAAGTAGAGACACTACATACTGATATACACCTGAACATCAGCAGGAGAGGACTCTTTAAAGTAGAGACACTACATACTGATATACACCTGAACATCAGCAGGAGAGGACTCTTTAAAGTAGAGACACTACATACTGATATACACCTGAACATCAGCAGGAGAGGACTCTTTAAAGTAGAGACATTACATACTGATATACACCTGAACATCAGCAGGAGAGGACTCTTTAAAGTAGAGACACTACATACTGATATACACCTGAACATCAGCAGGAGAGGACTCTTTAAAGTAGAGACACTACATACTGATATACACCTGAACATCAGCAGGAGAGGACTCTTTAAAGTAGAGACACTACATACTGATATACACCTGAACATCAGCAGGAGAGGACTCTTTAAAGTAGACACTACATACTGATATACACCTGAACATCAGCAGGAGAGGACTCTTTAAAGTAGAGGCACTACATACTGATATACACCTGAACATCAGCAGGAGAGGACTCTTTAAAGTAGAGACACTACATACTGATATACACCTGAACATCAGCAGGAGAGGACTCTTTAAAGTAGAGACACTACATACTGATATACACCTGAACATCAGCAGGAGAGGACTCTTTAAAGTAGACACACTACATACTGATATACACCTGAACATCAGCAGGAGAGGACTCTTTAAAGTAGAGACAGTACATACTGATATACACCTGAACATCAGCAGGAGAGGACTCTTTAAAGTAGAGACACTACATACTGATATACACCTGAACATCAGCAGGAGAGGACTCTTTAAAGTAGAGACACTACATACTGATATACACCTGAACATCAGCAGGAGAGGACTCTTTAAAGTAGAGACACTACATACTGATATACACCTGAACATCAGCAGGAGAGGACTCTTTAAAGTAGAGACACTACATACTGATATACACCTGAACATCAGCAGGAGAGGACTCTTTAAAGTAGAGACACTACATACTGATATACACCTGAACATCAGCAGGAGAGGACTCTTTAAAGTAGAGACACTACATACTGATATACACCTGAACATCAGCAGGAGAGGACTCTTTAAAGTAGAGACACTACATACTGATATACACCTGAACATCAGCAGGAGAGGACTCTTTAAAGTAGACACTACATACTGATATACACCTGAACATCAGCAGGAGAGGACTCTTTAAAGTAGAGGCACTACATACTGATATACACCTGAACATCAGCAGGAGAGGACTCTTTAAAGTAGAGACACTACATACTGATATACACCTGAACATCAGCAGGAGAGGACTCTTTAAAGTAGAGACACTACATACTGATATACACCTGAACATCAGCAGGAGAGGACTCTTTAAAGTAGACACACTACATACTGATATACACCTGAACATCAGCAGGAGAGGACTCTTTAAAGTAGAGACAGTACATACTGATATACACCTGAACATCAGCAGGAGAGGACTCTTTAAAGTAGAGACACTACATACTGATATACACCTGAACATCAGCAGGAGAGGACTCTTTAAAGTAGAGACACTACATACTGATATACACCTGAACATCAGCAGGAGAGGACTCTTTAAAGTAGAGACACTACATACTGATATACACCTGAACATCAGCAGGAGAGGACTCTTTAAAGTAGAGACACTACATACTGATATACACCTGAACATCAGCAGGAGAGGACTCTTTAAAGTAGAGACACTACATACTGATATACACCTGAACATCAGCAGGAGAGGACTCTTTAAAGTAGAGACACTACATACTGATATACACCTGAACATCAGCAGGAGAGGACTCTTTAAAGTAGAGACACTACATACTGATATACACCTGAACATCAGCAGGAGAGGACTCTTTAAACCAAAGGTTTGTATGTCAAAACACTGCTTAGTCTATTAAAGCAAAAAATAAGCCAAAATTGTTAATTTTGGTTTCTATGCCAACACAAACCTGCAAAACCAAGTTGCAAACCTTTTTGTCAATTTTTCATGAATGAGTATTGGGTTAGTTACTTTCTAGCAACAAAGCCTGAGTCTGGTGTTAATTTTGGTTTCTATGTCAACACATTTCTGTCCTAATGCAGCAAAAAAGATGCCAAAAACAGACACCCAGAACCCCACACATGCAGCGCGACACCGGGGCGTGAACCTCCAGGATCCGGACGCCCACTCCAACCGAGCCTGCTGCGGGGGGAACTAAACCCCCACGAGTCTGAGCCCCACCCTCCACACCACCTCCACCCTGAAACCATCCTGTCTCCTTCCACCAACAAACAGGGGGAACTGAAGCGGAGAAAATCCACTTCCCTCACCCATCCATTCATCCTCCAGACAGAAACTGAAGGAGAGGAAACGAGGAAAGGAAGAGTCGGAGGAGTTGTGACCCACTCACTGAGATTTGGAGAGGGGAGGTTGGACTGAGAGGAGGGAGATATAAAGAAGACAGTTGAAAGCCTGTTGTAGTATTTAGCACTAATTGTGATTTCTTCTTGCATCGTTTCAAAAATGCACAAAACAAGCAGCACCCAAAAAAGGAAAAGGAGGATTAAAAAAGGGCCAAAACAAGGAAGCCAAACTGTTAGGATGAGACTGCTTATCTTCGTCTTCTTCAGCGCTGTGCACGCTTGCTTTGCCTCCTCCTAGTGACCCACATCCTGCTGTGTATAGCGACACATATTGTAGCCCTGGAATGATACCATAGTGTGTAAATCCCTGCCTGACCTTCCCTGGTGTCGCCGGCACACTTTGCCCAACATAAATCCATCTGTACATATTTATTGTCCCGTGTTTTGACAAAGGCTCTCCTTCCTCCTCTCGTCCCTCACACTTTAAGACGGCTGATTCCACATCATGTTTGATACATTTGGTCCCACAGACTTGCTTGCTTAACGAGAGATCGCTGAAGTGCCGTGTTCCTGAAACATTTTGGGTTTGCTTGAGAAGAAGTGTGAAGAACTCTGGAGCTCTTTGCAGCAACTATATAGGACTTGAGCTGGAGTGTGTGTGTGTGTGTAGTCACATGACTTTAATGTTTAACTAATGACTTACCTGTAGCAAAGAACCAATCCCTCACACTGAAAGAAAGTCATATTGCATCCAATACAATCCTTACTGTCCCTGTAGTTAATACAAAGCTTTAAGGAACAGTCCACCCCCAAAATAACACTTTTTCAGATACTTCAAAACTGTCTCTATCCAGAAATCATGCCCAAGTTATTCAAGCAGTTTCATTTAGGATCTGCCGACCCTATCACCGTGCAAAGAAGAAGCGTGCACGTACTCTTTGAGAGGCTGCTTCTTCCTTATTGGTTTAGTTTGGTAAAATGAAAATAGCTCCTGCTTGAAACTGCTCACAAAATGGTCTGTGGACTATTTTAAGAAACTAGGTCATGAAGCTAAAAGGAATCTGAATGGATGAATTGCACTACAGGTCAAATGGAAAATGTGTTTTTGATTTTGGGGTCCCATTTAAATCTTACTTGTTGTATCATTACACTAAGTGATGGGGCTAAGTGTAACAGCATGGAATGTGTGAGTCCATCTCTGCCCGGATGAAGTTATTGGCATTAGATAAAATATGTATTGGGGAAGGAATGAAAGGCAGGAGGATTTTAAAAAGGAGAGATTCTGCCCATCTTGTGTTTCTTACGTGTCCTGCATCCGTCCCTCGTCCTGTTGGTGAATCATCGTGACCTGAAATTGTTTAACTTATTAATTTAGCTTAAATTAATATGATGCTCTTAACACAGAGCCGTGTGCTTGGCTGAAGAAAATGAGGAAGAGATTTGATGAAAACACAAAAAAGAAAAAAACAGAAGTGCCTATTCCCAGTTTTCGTTTTGTGTGACTCGTGAGTGTGCTTCGTAGGCGACGTGCAGGAACACCCACTGTCCTTTTTGCTTGTACTATAAACGGATACATTAACAGCACCCTGTCATTAGGCTTTACTGTACTGGCTCTTTGTGTGGATGTAAAGAGATCTTGTTGAATACACTGTATGTTAAAAATTACTGTCTTCATTTTAAGGAAGGTGGATGTGGATTTGAGCAGAGCACTCTTGGAATGGATCATGAAAAAAACACTCAATCGATGTTGATTCAAACAAGTGTTGAAGTGTCAAAGGAAAATCTTTTGCTCTGCTTTATTGTCAGCGTACTTGAAGAACAGCACCATGATTTGTTCTTCCCACCCAGGACACTAACGGCTCGTTATGTTCACTCATTCATTCTTCAGTGATCACATGTAGGCTCAGTGTTCTGTGCAATTAAAACAAGACTTGGTTTGTCATCAGCACTTTGAGGATGCTTAGTGTTCAATAAAGCTGTCAATGGCGCTTGGAGTGCAGGATGATGATCCCTTTTATTTCACTTTCCTGTGTTAGAGAGGTTTTAGTCACTTTGTTTACTTCTGATATACACCTGAACTTCAGCAGGAGAGGACTCTTTAAAGTAGAGACACTACATACTGATATACACCTGAACTTCAGCAGGAGAGGACTCTTTAAAGTAGAGACACTACACACTGATATACACCTGAACATCAGCAGGAGAGGACTCTTTAAAGTAGAGACACTACATACTGATATACACCTGAACATCAGCAGGAGAGGACTCTTTAAAGTAGAGACACTACATGCTGATATACACCTGAACATCAGCAGGAGAGGACTCTTTAAAGTAGAGACACTACATACTGATATACACCTGACCATCAGCAGGAGAGGACTCTTTAAAGTAGAGACACTACATGCTGATATACACCTGAACATCAGCAGGAGAGGACTCTTTAAAGTAGAGACACTACACACTGATATACACCTGAACTTCAGCAGGAGAGGACTCTTTAAAGTAGAGACACTACATACTGATATACACCTGAACATCAGCAGGAGAGGACTCTTTAAAGTAGAGACACTACATACTGATATACACCTGAACATCAGCAGGAGAGGACTCTTTAATGTAGAGACACTACATACTGATATACACCTGAACTTCAGCAGGAGAGGACTCTTTAAAGTAGAGACACTACATACTGATATACACCTGAACATCAGCAGGACAGGACTCTTTAAAGTAGAGACACTACATACTGATATACACCTGAACATCAGCAGGAGAGGACTCTTTAAAGTAGAGACACTACATACTGATATACACCTGAACATCAGCAGGAGAGGACTCTTTAAAGTAGAGACACTACATACTGATATACACCTGACCATCAGCAGGAGAGGACTCTTTAAAGTAGAGACACTACATGCTGATATACACCTGAACATCAGCAGGAGAGGACTCTTTAAAGTAGAGACACTACACACTGATATACACCTGACCATCAGCAGGAGAGGACTCTTTAAAGTAGAGACACTACATACTGATATACACCTGAACATCAGCAGGAGAGGACTCTTTAAAGTAGAGACACTACATACTGATATACACCTGAACTTCAGCAGGAGAGGACTCTTTAAAGTAGAGACACTACATACTGATATACACCTGAACATCAGCAGGACAGGACTCTTTAAAGTAGAGACACTACATACTGATATACACCTGAGCATCAGCAGGAGAGGACTCTTTAAAGTAGAGACACTACATACTGATATACACCTGAACATCAGCAGGAGAGGACTCTTTAAAGTAGAGACACTACATACTGATATACACCTGAACATCAGCAGGAGAGGACTCTTTAAAGTAGAGACACTACATACTGATATACACCTGAACATCAGCAGGAGAGGACTCTTTAAAGTAGAGACACTACATACTGATATACACCTGAACATCAGCAGGAGAGGACTCTTTAAAGTAGAGACAATACATACTGATATACACCTGAACATCAGCAGGAGAGGACTCTTTAAAGTAGAGACACTACATACTGATATACACCTGAACATCAGCAGGAGAGGACTCTTTAAAGTAGAGACCCTACATACTGATATACACCTGACCATCAGCAGGAGAGGACTCTTGAAAGTAGAGACACTACATACTGATATACACCTGAACATCAGCAGGAGAGGACTCTTTAAAGTAGAGACCCTACATACTGATATACACCTGACCATCAGCAGGAGAGGACTCTTTAAAGTACAGACACTACATACTGATATACACCTGAACATCAGCAGGAGAGGACTCTTTAAAGTAGAGACACTACATACTGATATACACCTGAACATCAGCAGGAGAGGACTCTTTAAAGTAGAGACACTACATACTGATATACACCTGAACATCAGCAGGAGAGGACTCTTAAAGTAGAGACACTACATACTGATATACACCTGAACATCAGCAGGAGAGGACTCTTTAAAGTAGAGACACTACATACTGATATACACCTGAACATCAGCAGGAGAGGACTCTTTAAAGTAGAGACACTACATACTGATATACACCTGAACATCAGCAGGAGAGGACTCTTTAAAGTAGAGACACTACATACTGATATACACCTGAACATCAGCAGGAGAGGACTCTTTAAAGTAGAGACACTACATACTGATATACACCTGAACATCAGCAGAAGAGGACTCTTTAAAGTAGAGACACTACATACTGATATACACCTGAACATCAGCAGGAGAGGACTCTTTAAAGTAGAGACACTACATACTGATATACACCTGAACATCAGCAGGAGAGGACTCTTTAAAGTAGAGACACTACACACTGATATACACCTGAACATCAGCAGGAGAGGACTCTTTAAAGTACAGACACTACATACTGATATACACCTGAACATCAGCAGGAGAGGACTCTTTAAAGTAGAGACACTACATACTGATATACACCTGAACATCAGCAGGAGAGGACTTTTTTAAGTAGACACTACATACATTTTATCGGATCTTTCACTTGGTCCATTAGTTCTGAAGAGAAGTGAGAGACCTCAGTTGAAAATAAATGTGGCTCCCGATAAATCGCCCTAATCAATTAAAATGAAAATAATCTCAACTGGGGAAAGCTGACTGCAATGCAGGTGAAGACTACAACGCCCATGATCCCACGTTACCTCAAAACGTCACCAAACTCTGTCTTTTTTATTACAGTCATTGAAAGACCCAGAGTGGCAAAACTTTACAAATATAGATTTTTTGGTATACTGGTTGATATTTTTTGGTATACTGGTTGATATTTTTACTACACTACACATATTAAGGCCCACTTCAACTTAAGTTGAATAATGAGCAGCAGCTACTGTATAAACTCACATTATTTGAAACACATGCTTTGTATGGGAATGACGTTAAAATGCATTGTCTCAAATAAAATAAAATAAATATATCCAGCCTTCCTTATAAAACTCTTATCTCCAGACTTTAAAAAAAAATGTCATGCTTTTCCGGTTATTACCCGTCCCCTTTTGTGGTATGAAGGATGATTAGGACAATTCTGGAGAAATGTTTCAGAATTAGATTTTTTCTGTGTCCTTTCTTTTAATAGATATTTAATGATTATAGCTTACTGCTGTTGATGTTAAATGGCACCATTGATTTCCTTTGTCTCAATTATGAAAGTTCTCATAATAGAATACATGAAGCTGCAGAGAGAGGATGGATATTCTTACCTCTACTTTGTGATTAGATGAAAATACAAAATTGAATTCAAATAGTAAAACACATTGTTTATTTAATTTACTGAGGTTTTAACCATTATTTACAACATGTGTACATAAGCAGTGGAATAATAGGATATCTCTAGGTCATTAAACTGTCTTAAATTCTGTTTAAATATATTTATACAAAAAATAGGCTATAGAAAATGTTTAATTGTGTATTTCAGCAGAGCGGGGGGTCACAGAGCTGCTGGACCTGGAGGTGCTGACCTGGGGTCAGTAGGACATCATCTGGGCTGGTTTAGGGGAGGAAGGAGAATATAAACTATTATAGTCACAGCTAATAATATTAGAAAACTAATATTGTTTAGAATCAATCTATACAACATGCTGTTGTTCATTTAAAAAACATATCGTTTTATTAGTACAGAACAATTAAGACTTATTTTAAATATGAAATATGATTAAATCACATCAGATAATGTACTTGTTAACTTACTAATGTAACATTACTGGGGGCTAAAGGAACAGCTTTACCTGGCCATGGTTATCTTTATTTCATCGCCGACGGTGATCTCCAAAAAATGGTTAAAGTAAAAAAGTAAAGTTTCTGGATCATTTTCAGCTGAGTTAGCTTGTTAGCTCATATGCTATCAGGCTGCTGGAGCAGCGCAACAGAACAGCGCGTATCATGTGACGTAAACAGGCAGTGCTCCGTAGGCTGGACCGTCTCATTTCCTAGGCCGCTCGGTCTGCATCCTTCGTGGACCGCGTAGGCTGCGTCCTCCGAATAATGCAGTCTCTGAATTAAGACACGGGGGGTGTTCCTCAATGTCGAGGAACCAATTCAATTCAAGGAACCAATTCCTTGGTAGGACCTGTCTTCCGAGTCAGGTCCTTCAGAAGCTAGCAGAGGTGTGGACTCGAGTCACATGACTTGGACTCGAGTCAGACTCGAGTCACACATTTTATGACTTGAGACTCGACTTGACAACATCACAAAAGACTTGCGACTCGACTTGGACTTGAACACCAATGACTCGGGACTTGACTTGGACTTGAGCCTTCTGACTTGAGGTGACTTGCTACTTTAATTCAGAGGTCTCCAACACGCCGATCGCGAGCTGCCGCTAGAAGAGCAGACTCCCGTCGGGGAAAGCAGAATCTTCAGCCGCTCCTACTCTTGCTGGGAATCCTTGCAGGCAGGGGCGGGTCTTTATTTAGCTGGGCCACCATGCGGCCAATCATATGCGAGGACACACTAGGATCATACCATTATGTGCAGTGGCGGCGGGTCATTAGGGGCAGGTGGGGCACAGCCCCACCTAGTGTCAGAAGAAAGTATTACAAATAATGATTACAAAAAAATACAAAAAAATAAATAAAAAAACATATAAAATATATTTTAAGGTCATGTTTAATAATCTGATTCGTCTGTACATTTCTGTTTTAGTCTGTGTTCTTCTAATTAGTGTCTAGAGTGCCGTTTTGAGCTGTTTAGAGCCATGTGGGACAAAACCCGATCCTGCCCCTCCCTCTCACAGTCTAAGTGAACGGTGATTGTAAAAACTACACTGCGCATGCTCAGAGTATTTTTCTATGTAATGTGTGTGGCAAAAAAATAATGACCGTAGGGGCATAGTGCTCCCATCCCCACCATACGTCATCTCACATAATTCAGAATTGATTGGCTGTAAGTACTCACGTGTGCAGTGCTGCGAAACGTCACGTGTAGTTTGAAGAGGAGACGAGAGAGCAGCATATAGCTAACATCACCAGCGATTAAAAGAAGTAAAAAACTGAAAGAAAATGAATGAAGTTGACCATTTACTGGAGCACACATTTGAGACACTTAGTCTCGGAGAGAAACTGGAGGTAAAGCGCCTCGGTGCCCAGCATCCACCGGATTTCCAAATGGTCCAGACTGCGGGCAAAGTTAAACGTGGGTTTAACGCTGAGTGGTTTGCTAAAAAGAAATGGCTAACGGCGAGCATCCAGAAGAATTCCCTCTTTTGCTTTCCTTGCCTGCTTTTTGGTGAAGATCAAGGTACTTGGTCGAGGACAGGTTACAAGGACTTAAAGCATCTTTCGGAGAGGACAATGAAGCATGAGAGCAGCAACAGTCATTTGGAAAATGCCGTAAAATTGGGATTACTTGGAAGGGTGAATGTTGCAGCTCAGATTGACAGCGCCTACAGACGCGGCATTGATTCTCATAATAGGAAGGTGGAAGAAAACAGGTACGTGCTTGGTCGGATCATCACCTGTATTAAACTGTGTGGGAAATGTGAGACAGCACTGCGGGGCCACAACGAGTCGGCGGACTCTCTGAATCCAGGGATATTCAGGTCAATTTTCGAGACAATGTGTGAGGGCGATTCCAGGCTTCAACGGCACTACGAAGCTCAGCTTGTTTTCAAAGGGACATCAAGCACCATACAGAATGAACTCTTGGACTGCATGTATGATGTGTACAGGGAGGAAATAGCCAAGCAAGTGGACAACACATCATTTGTTGCCGTTCAGGCCGACGAGACAACCGATGTCTCCTGTAAATCGCAAATGGTGATTGTGCTGCGATACATTATGCCTGACCTCACAGTTACAGAGCGTTTTTTGGAGTTTGTGGAAGTAAAGGACAAAACTGGTGTAGGTCTCTCTAACAGCATCAAGGCTGTTCTGGAACCCCTGAAGCTGAAAGAAAAGCTAATCGCTCAGACCTATGACGGGGCGGCCGTCATGAGCGGGTAACGTGCGCGGGGTACAGACGGTGATGAAGGAGACGTACCCAAACGCTCAGTTTGTTCACTGCTACGCCCACCAACTGAACCTGACCCTGCAGCAACTGTGTTCAGCAAGGATGAGCATCCTGAAGGTGTTTTTTGCAGATCTAACTGCTTTTTCCACTTTTTTCTCCGGTGCTCCAAAACGTGTTGCAGCTCTTGCAGAGGCAACACAGAGACGCATCCCACGGCCACCGGCTGTGAGATGGAACTTTAAAAGCAGAACTGTGAACGCGGTTTGGGAGACCCGAGATGCACTACTTCAGTGTATGAAGCATATACGCGCACAACCAGGATGGGATGCGGTCACCATAAGTGAGGCATACGGCCTGTCAAAGAAACTGCGGGACCGAGCATTTATGCAGCTCCTGGAGTTTTTTTTCGTTGCTTATGCCAGAAGTGGATGTTCTATACAACACTCTGCAAAAACGAAGCATCGATGCACCTGGGATCAACAGCGCGCTCTGCCGTTTCAAGGAAAATGTTCAGAAAATGAGGCAGAAAACTGATGCATTGGCCGCCACTGCTCATGATGGAACAGACGAGCCAGGCCGACGAGTCAGCAGCACAGCGCCGGTGATGAAGGAGGCTTGTGACACAGTCATCTCACAGGTGGAACAGAGGTTCTCACAGAGTGACCATTTGATCGCTGCAAAGCTTGTTGACAGCTCATTCTTCCCACAGCATGTCCTGTCATTTCCTACACCTGAGCTTGACTGCGCCGTGAAACTGTGGCTTGCGTTGGGAAACAAGGAGAAGTTGAAGTCTGAGCTGACCACGCTCTACCGCCACAGTGAGCTTCACACTGGAAACACTGCCCTGTCTCTGTTGAAATCCATTCACGAGAACAACTTGGAGGAAACGTTTGCTGAGACTGTTATTTTGGTCAAAATAATAGTGACAACTCTGATGACGACATCCGAGTCAGAGAGGAACTTTTCCACCCTCAAAAGGATAAAGACTTTCCCTCGCAACACCATGGGACAGCCGCGACTTAACGCATTGGCCATGCTTTCAATTGAAAGCCAGTTGATCCAGCAACTACAGGACTTCATCCCCAAAGTGATAGACACATTCTGTCAGAGGAAGGACCGCCGTGCCGCTTTTCTTTTCAAGTGAGCCTTCAGCTTTGGTAAGTTCATTTATGTCATATATTTTGTTGATCTTCTGTGTTTTGCCTCTGCTGGATCGATTGATATTGTGACCTCGATGATGAGTGTCTGTGTTTTCCTTATATTTACAGTCTATGGTGTTTTAATGCTAAAGCATTACGGTTGTTGTTATTGTTAAGAATTACTTTGTGATGGTGACCTTTACTCCATGTATGAAGGTGCATTACTATGACATCCCCACGCTGTGTACGTAAATGTATGCGCTCACAGTGTTGCTCCTGTGGTCTTCAGTATGTCATTTGACACTCCCCCTCTCTCTCTCCTCCCCCCCTCTCTCTGTCCCCCCTCTCTCTCTCCTCCCTCTCTCTGTCCCCCCCCTCTCTCTCTCTCTCTCTCCCCCGACCTCTTTCTGCCCCCCCAGTTTTGTACACCTAGAAACGCCACTGATTATGTGAAAGAAGGGTGGGGGCACAGCATGTGCAGAGCGACGGGGAGACGGGGAGCCGGAATTAAATGCAAGCGCGTCGGAAAAAGTCAAGAAATGAGCGAAAACCGAAAAAAGAAGCAGCATCTGGCTGCTTTTCAATGATATTGGAGAAAGCAAAGCTGAGTGCAGGATTTGTAAAATGAAAATAACCTTCAGAGCAGGGTAAACACTCAGGATTTATTGTCAGAGGTGGGAGAAGTTCAGACAATTAAACAAAGTTACAATCAGGGTTCCCGCGGGGTCTTAACAAGTCTTAAAAAGTCTTAAATTTGATAATCAGAATTTAAGGCCTTAAAAAGGTCTTAAATATGATTCAGAAGGTCTTAAAAATTATCGGATTTGAAAGGTACTTCTGTGTTGCGATAGCGTCTAAATGTGTTTTGGGGGAAATGTCCGGGCTGCAAAGTAACCAGTACGGTAATAGCCTTTCAGTTCCCCCCAACAATTTGTATTGAATTAAATCAACATGGAACCAGTAATCACTAACTTTGTTTCCCCCGGCCCCTTATTGGAGAACACCCAGCTAGTAACCTAGCAACCAAGCTTCAGCTCATGTAGCCTATCTTCGAATCTACTTACAAATAAATATGGGGAAGTGTAAGTTCAACCGTATTTGGTTGGAAAACATCTAATTTAGTGCTTGGTTGAAACCAGTGGAGGGAACGTGTTTGAAGCCCGCTGCACCTTTTGCAAAATAAATTAGTGTTTGTTTTGCTAATGTAGCGTTAGCTAGTGCAGCGTTAGCTAGTGGAGCGTTAGCTAGTGCAGCAGCAGCTAATGTAGCGTTAGCTAGTGCAGCAGCAGCTAGTGCAGCGTTAGCTAGTGCAGCGTTAGCTAGTGCAGCAGCAGCTAATGTAGCGTTAGCTAGTGCAGCAGCAGCTAGTGCAGCGTTAGCTAGTGGAGTGTTAGCTAGTGCAGCAGCTCCCGCAACAACACCGGGGGACCTCCGGGCGAAGTTTGGGTCTACGTCAACCCTAAAAGCGGAGGTGCTGTAGACGCTAAATACCGTAGCTAAACACCAATCATACAACAGCAACGATGAAATAGTGTAGCCAAGGCAGCAGAGCTCTGAATATAGCTCTTGTCACTCTCTCTCAGACACACACACACACACACACACACACACACACACACACACACACACACACACACACACACACACACACACACACACACACACACTAGGGCTGCTCGATTATGGCAATAATCAAGATTATGTTGGTCAATAATTAATATCACGATTATTAAATATGATTATTCATTGACTTTGAAAACATCCATTTATTGAACTTTAAAACAGATAATAATTTGAACAGTATATTTTTAACTGTTGATTACCCTGAACGTATAATTCAACTGAAAAACCAATACAAAAATTAATTAAATAAATGATACATTACTAAAAAAATCATTAGATCAAATATGTTGTGGTGCACTGTCACAACCTAGCAAAGCAAAAATAATTGTTTTTTCCGATTATGTTGTTTTCGTAATTGTGGCA